TTTGGCCTCCCTTTCTCTCCCAAAGAGGGTGGGATCCACAGGGTTACTGGGGTCCAACTCCTGTGGGAGTGCTTGTCAAGACCCATTGTGAGCTGTGGCACCCAGTCTTCTCAGGATGTCCTTCTGGAGGTCCATTTCCCTGAACCCATCTTTTTTCTCAGCCAGCATTTGCAGCTCTCTATTCCCACTGTCACTTCTTCCCTCTGATTTATTATCACAGAATTTGAGGATGGGATTAAACCTCAAAAACTATCCAGTCCATTATCTTTCCCTCTCACCACATATGTGTAAACTGAGGACCAGAGACGGGAAGTGACTTACCTAAGGATACTTGGCTCAAGGAGAGAATATAGGGCACAAAACAGGACCGAAGATGAAACATCTGGAACATCAGTATTTCAAAGAGAAGAAGGCAAGGTGAGCTGAGAAGGGGAGTCAGATGTATTCCAGAAGAACCATGCTTGAGAAATGATGGGAAAGCCAAGGGTGGTGGGACGCTCAGAAGAAGGCAGTGTCTAAGAGGTCCAGTGCTGGGAGATGAGGAAGCATGCCTTGAACAGGACTTCAAGACACTAATGTCCTGCATGGGGAAAGGCAGCCTTCAGGGGTTAAAGAGGGGTCAGAAGGAAACTCAGGATTTTGGTGATGAAGAAGCTTTATCTTGAAAAGGAAGAAGGATTTTATTTTCCCCATTTGTGTCAGAACATTCCTGAATACGTGGAGCATTCATCAGGGTGTCTGGCAAAACAAGCTGACTGGTGATGTTGTGAACAGCTATCCTTGATTACATAGCCTCCTCTGGAACTGTAGGGTTTCTATGGGGTAGAGGAGTGAACCAGGGAGGGTAGAGGGGCAAAGCAGAAAGAGAAATCTTTAACAATTTTAGGCCTTTTTTTTTGGTAGAGCAGAATGTACTAGGGAAATATGTGCTTTTGCAACAGAGTTTAAATTGTTTTTCTCAAATTTCTGCATCTTTTATATGAGTAACTGATGGAACAGATGACCTACGTGTTGCAGGGTTATTTTTCACTTAGGGAGAGGGTTTTTATTCTCTTGGGAAAAGGATGCTGTTTCTATAAATCTCAAATATTACATGTATGAGAGAATTCAAAAAAAAGTTTTTATTCCCTTGAGACAAACACAAATAGCTCCAGTTTCTCCTACCTCTTGTTTAAAGCCATCTCATAAAGTGCTATCACAAACAGGCTCCAAGAATGAATTGTTTAATACTATAAAGTTTATTGTGTGCAAATACACATGCACATATTGCATTTACACTCCATATAGAGTTATGCTATGTTCTCTAAGAGCACTTTAGAAG